GGATAGGGCAGGATAGGATAGGATAGGGCAGGATAGGATAGGATAGGATAGGGCAGGATAGGATAGGGCAGGATAGGATAGGGCAAGAGAGGATAGATAGAGCAGGATAGGAGGATGGGCAGGATAGGATAGGGCAGGGAAGAGGAGGTAAAGGAAGCAGAAGGGAGAAGGAAAAGGAATAGAGAGAAAAGAAGTTTTAAAAGGAGAACAAAATAAAAGGATTTTTTTAAAAAAATGATAGAGGAAATATGTGCAAGAGAAAGTTTTTAAAAGATGAGCCAGTAAGAATAGACAATGTGAGAGGAAAGAAAGAATGAAAGTTTATGAAAGGAGAGTCAGTAAGAAAAGCTCATAATTTAGTCCAGTGAAGCAATGAGGTGGTAACACCTGCCTCTGGGATAAAAAAAAAAAAAAAATCACTTCAGCAGCTATATTGCTTCCTCCATCTTTAACGGTTAGCTTCTAATTACAGTAGGAAGTTTCAGGTAGGCATCTTTTTTAAATGTTTATTTATTTTTGAGAGAAAGACCAAGCAGGGGAGGGTCTAAGAGAGAGAGGGAGTGAGAGAATCCCGAATAGGTGGTGCACTCTCAGCATGGAGCCTGACGTAGGGTTCGAACTCATGAACCTTATGATCATGACTTGAGGCGGAATCAAGAGTCGAATGCTAGGGATGCTTGGGTGGCTCAGTCAGTTGGGCGTCCAACTCTTAATTTCAGCTCAGGTCATGATCTTACAGTTCCGTGAATTCGAGCCCCACATCAGGCTCTGTGCTGACAGGGCAGAGCCTGCTTGGGATTCTGTCTCCCTCTCTGTTCCTCCCCTGCTTGCTTACTCTCTCAAAAATAAACTTTAAAAAAATCTCATAAAGAACGAGTCTAATGCTTAACCAACTGAGCCACTGAGGCACCCCTAAGGTAGGCATCTTAAACAGTGGCCACCTCAAATGGTTTTTAAAAAGGAAAATATTTTTAAAAATATGTTCACAATATCACATAGGTGACAGGAGAATGAAGAGATCTATTTCACATATGAAATAGACTTATACCACTATAATAAGGCCATCATCTTCTATCACATAGACACAAAGGGACGCATATCTTAAAGCTCTAGTGAAAATGCAATCAGCACACATAGTTTGGAATCCTTTTGTCTATATGAATGATTAGAAACAGTAACTGTAGTCATCTCTTTCACAGCTGAGGTATATGTGTACTGTCACTTGCCCCTGCCAAGCTCTGAGGCACAGCCAAGGAAGATCATGAGCACTCTCACAGCATCTCCAGCATAGTTGTTTGTGCTGGCGTGCATCCCCACACAGAGAAAAGGCCATGTTCTCACTGGGCAGGATGGAGGGATGGAGTTTTTTCCCTTCTCCCAGAAGACAACTCTGCCCAAGTATAGCTTTAACTACACAAGATAATACTGTAAAAGGGATTGCCTTGCCTCCCCATCACATCTGTCTTCTGGTTTCTCAACCTTGCCACTATTGACATTTTGGGCTGGATAATTCTTTGTTGTGGGGACGGTCCTTTGCATTGTAGAATGTTTAGCTGCATCCCAGGCCTCCACCCCCTAGATGCCAGGAGTGACCCTCCTCTGCCACATTTGTAACAATCACAATGTCTCCAGACATTTCCAAATGTCCACTAAGGGAAAAAATTGCCTCCCATTGAGAACCACTACTTATCCTCTGCAGTTCCTCCTTACAGCCCCATATGTATATTAGCATATAGCTCTCCTTTTATTGGGCATGAAAGAATAAATAGAATCTATCTTGGATAACTGTCATGTGCACTATTAAAAACAAATATTTTCTTGTGTTTCTTTAAGCTCCTTCCCCAGAGATAAAGAAAACAAGTGATAGTACCAGTGGCCAGAAATTACACCAAGGACAAAAACGTAATTGAAATTATTTGATTAGAAGTACTAAACTAGTAATTTGTAGAAAGATGGGATTTGGTACTGACCGCATCTGCTTACAATGCAGATAAATCCTCTATCCTATGTTATAAATGATGGATTTTGAGTAATATTTGCCAACAGTGCTACAGCCTCTCTTGCTTTCTGGATTAGACTCCCTAATTACTCACTCAGTTCATGTCACTGCCACCACATGCCCGTGAGCAGGACCGTGCATATTTTGCAGCTGACAAGTCTGCAAGCCCAGTTGAGAGCCCTGCTTCTCCATGGCCCCTGCTCCTGATCTCATTTCTGTATTTTTCCATTACCAACAAGATCCCAAGGCATTGTTTTTTAACCTGTTCCCCACTGGCTCCTACCGCTACTACTGCCAGTCTTCACTCAGCAAGCAGTTCTGCCTCCTAGGGAAGCTTTTCCCTGCATCTCATTTGTTTCATTCACCTGGAGAGTCATCCTTGCAGATTGCTGACTGGAGGTGCTACTGATGTTTCTGAAGCCAGCAGCCCTAGGGACCTAGTGAGGACCGAGACTCCAACCAACACTCTTTCTCAAAACCCTGCCCTTCCTTAGACTTTGGAATTTTCAGGCCTGAAGTAACTTCTGTCACTTCACTGGCAATAGAAATATTTTATTCTGCCACTTATTTTTCCTCAGCAGTGGGGCATGCCCTCAGTGTTGCCCACTCTTATTCCCCTGTTCCTTTTAGAACAGCCTGACGGAGTAGCAGTTGTTGTCATTCTCAAATTTCAACCTATTTCTTGAATAGGCTTCTCTAATACATATATGGCTAGCACATTTTGCCAGTGCCTTCTTTCCTTTTGCTTTTGGGCTCAGTCATTGATTTTTCTAACATATTGCCTTTGTGGGGCCCCCATAATGGCCCTGAATTTCATGTAGCCTCCCCCATCTTTCTGCTTCTTTGCAAAAGATGATGTCCAAATGTCTGGGGTAAGAGGTGTGGCTAATGTTCTTATTTCTCTGTGTGGCAGCAATATGGGCATCACTTAAACAACTTATTAGAAATGCAGATTCTCAGGCTTTACCCTGGACCTACCGAATTGGAATCTACATTTTCACAAGATCCCCGTGCTTTATATGCACATTGAAGCTTGGGGAACAGTGGCATCTGTGACCTCATGGAGGTGAAATAAAGCCATGGTGCTTAGATGAAATGTCTTCTGCCTCTGGTCTCCAGAGAGAGAGATGTTCTCATCTCTTCTGACATAGTGCTTGACCTGTTGACATTCACAGTGGAAGTCAGCCACCAGGGCAGTGACTCATGGTTTGGTCTCACTGAACGTAGAGCCCTCTGGCTTTCCCATTCCACCTCAATTCTGGCTGGCTGATCCATAACACTCAGGGTGGGGCCCTCTCACCTCCACCACAGTGACTGCCCTTGGAAAGCTTCCCAGCCAAGAGTGGCTTAAGAAAGCAAAATCTCAAGGGGAAATAGGAAGAGATTGGCAAACAGGTACAAACTTTTAGCTATAAGATGAATAAAGTCTAAAGGTCTAATGGAAAACATGATGACTATAGTTGATTGCACTGTATATAATTGAAATTTGCTGAGAGCAGAACTTAAAATGTTTTCAACAACAACAAAATATAAATATGTGAGGTGATGGATGTGTTAATTAAATGGGGGGGATCCTTTCACAATATATACATATATCACATCACCATGTTGTGTACTTTAGCTATCTTACAATTTTGTATGCCAATTATATATGTCACCAAAGCTGAAATTAAAAACAAAGAAAGAGAGGAAAAGAAGGAAGGGAAGGGAAAGGATACCAACGTCAGAGAAAGGCTTGCTCTGCTTGACCATACTATATTATAGTTTGTGGCCCATGTCCCAGGTGAGGAGAAGGTGGCAGCAGTGGGGGATAGTCTAAGAGATTTCTTCCTCGAACCGTTAAGTGGGGAGCAGAGCAATAGTTCTTTTCTCTCTATGCTAACTTCACTTGTCTGAAGCAACCAAGACCCAAAGTAAGAAAAATGTAAGAGCCTCTTCTGATTTCTTTGCTCTCCAGCTTCTCCCACCACCCTTTCACTTTCCCACCATCTCTAAGCTGCTAAAGGAATAGACTTCCCCACGCAACTTTCCTCAAGTCATATCTTCCTTCTTTCTGAGCCCAGATAGCTCTTCCTGGAGGGCTAGGGTATCTCCCTCCAGTACACTAAAGGAGAGTTATCTGAGCTAAGTATTCCAGTCTGTTGTTATACAAAAATGAAGGTTAAATTTAGGGAAATTCTCGAGACAGTTGCATGGCTTGCAAAGCATACTGTCTTGGCTATGTCATCCTATTTTTGAATGACAGGTGCTGAATATTACTTGGATCTATATTGTGGAATTCCTCCTGTTAAAAATTCTAACCTCCTCTCCCCTAGTTCCACCCCCAAGCAGGTGGAGTACAAAACTAGGGCAGAGGTTTTGTACTTAGGGAGTCAAAAATGAGAAAATAATATAAAATTTTGAAACAGTAGCCCTGTTGTATAATGGCTGTTTCATACCTGTCAAGCCCCAAAAGGAAACACAACAAGAGATGGGTCTTCAGACCTACATCTGGAAATTATGCTTACTGTAAAAAAAATGTAAAATATAGAAAAATATGTAATATACAGAATGTAACACCATAATAAATATGGGAAAAAGGCACATTTTACTGAAGACATACAGATGGCGAATAAGCACATGAAAGAGTTGCTTAATATTATTAGTCATTAGGGAAATACAAAGTAAAGCACAATGAGATACCACTATATACCCAGTAAAATAGTTAGAATTTAAATAATTGAATTTACATAAGTGTTTGCAAGGACTTGAATCAGCCAGAACTCTGACACTACAGGTTGGAATGGAAAATGGTAGCAAATGTAAGTTAAACTACCATATGATCCCAGCCATCCCTGTCTTAGATATGTGCCCAAAAGAAGTGAAAATATATGTCCACATAGAGACTCATAGCAGCATTATTCATAATAGCCAAAAAAACTGGAAACAACCTAAATGCCCATCAGTGGGGAAATGGATGAAGTGTAGTATGGAATACTATGTAGTAATAAAAAGGAATAAACCATTGTTACAGGCAACAGTATTGATGAATCTCAAAATAAATATGCTAAATGAAGGAAGCCAGTCCGAGAAAAAAAAAAGGAGAGAATACATCCTATATGATTCCATTTGTAGCAAACTCTAGAAAATGCAAACAATTATAGTGTCAGCAGATCAGTAGGTTGTCTGGAAGACGGGTAGAGAGAGGGATGAACTATACGGGGAAACAAGGAAACTTTTGGGGTTGGTGGAAATGTTTGTGGTGATGGTTTCAATAGCTTGTATATGTGTCAAAACTGGACAAATGGTATGTTTTAAATATGTGTGGTTTATTGTACTTCAATTGCATTTGGATAAAATTATTTAAAATTATATGATTTCTCTTTCATTTACTTTTAGGACCAGGTCACCGTTCTCTGAGTTTTGTAAAGGTTCCTGCCAAAAACTCATCAGTCTTCATATCTTCTCAGCATGATGTACAGAAAAACAAAGCAGAACAAAAGGTAGAAAGTTGTATGTCTCCGACGCTTTATATTAATCATTAATTTATCCTGTTAACTATTATTTCTATGGGATATTGTCTTCACTGCCATGGTACTGACTGGTCAGAGATAATGGAGTCCTACACAGAACAGAAGGTTCTGAGTCAGCATCATGTTAAATGTACCATATGGTTTTGCAGAAACTGACTTAAAAATTTGCTGATACTGATAATAGCTAATGTTTACTGAGAATTTGCTGTGGGCCTGAGCCTGTGTTAAACTAGAAGGAGGGGAAAAGGGGGAAAACAATTGACATGATATACAGATACGGAAAAGACATCATCACTACTCATGAAGACTCACTATCCAAGGATTAGACACATATAAACAAAAGTCCTTACCATAAAATAAGACGAGAGTTTTGATTTGTACAAAATGTTTTGATTTGTACAAAATGTAGTGGGAGCACAGAAGATTTAGAGACTGGTCCTGCCTAGAGAAGCCTTAAAAGGATTTATTAAAGGAGGGCTTCATTGTATTCGGTCTTGCAATATAAGTGGGATGCTTCCAGATGAATGAGGATATAGTGAGGCAGTATTACGCACTGATGTTAAAGTGTTAAGTGAGAGCATGATAGTGCAAGCCTGCAAAGCCGGGGCAGCGCCAGAGAGGAGACTGAAAGGTAGGTTGCAGCCATTGTTTTGTACACCTCGTGGAGAATGGATTTATTGTCTTAGTAGTATAGAACCATTGCAGGTTTTTGAGAAGAGATGTGAAATAAGAATGAGATGGGGTTTAAAAAGATATTCTGGGGGCACCTGGCCGGCTCAGTTGAAAAGGCATGCAACTCTTGATCTCCCAGGTCATGAGTTCAAGCCCCACATTGAGTGTAGAGATTACTTAAGTACATACATTTAAAAAGAGAGAGAGAAGTCTTTTTTAAAACTAAAAGACAAATAAAAATATAATCTACTTGGGGCGCCTGGGTGGCTCAGTCGGTTGGGCGGCCGACTTCGGCTCAGGTCATGATCTTGCGGTCCGTGGGTTCGAGCCCCGCGTCGGGCTCTGTGCTGACAGCTCAGAGCCTGGAGCCTGTTTCCGATTCTGTGTCTCCCTCTCTCTCTGCCCCTCCCCCGTTCATGCTCTGTCTCTCTCTGTCCCAAAAATAAATAAAAAACGTTGAAAAAAAAAAAAATTAAAAAAAAATAAATAAATAAATATGCCACTACTATACCAGTAAATGGCATTTGAGGATAATTTTACTAAATTGAAACTGACGACCATATGAAAATTGCTTTATTACTATATAACCACAAGAAAAAATGAGGCTGTTGTTTTTAATATTAATTGTCTCTTCAATTCCAGACTGCGAGTAGGAATTCATTTCAAAATTTAATAAAGCCTGACATCACCAAAGTGGAGCTTTTAAAAGATGTCCACAGCAAAAAAGATCTTATCATTCGTTTGGTAACTCATGATACTGATCCAAGAGTTTCAGAAAATAAAATAGAAGAGAGCTTAACTTCTGATGAAGATGAAGTTGTTTTACAAGAGGTTATGAAAGAACTTCCAGAAGTCCCATTTGAAGATCAAGTAAAAGAAGACATGAAGCCCATTACAAGCACAGTGGCTTTTGCCAAGCCACTGATGAGCAAGAGAAATCTGAAAAAATTTTTGTCACTAGGAAAATATTGTCATCCCAAATCCACTGCAACTACAACAAATACTGAAGCATCACCAACTCAACGGACAGAATCTGAGGAGACACAACAAAGAACTGTTTCTAAGCCTGATGTGACCAAGTCCAAATCCTCAACTGTCACAGATTCTTCCTTTTCAGAAAGAAAGACACAACTAAGTGTAAGTGACAAATGTGACTATCAATGACCAGGTTTCTATAGAAAAGGCACAGAGTTTCACAAACTTAGTCCAAGTAATTTACATTGGATAGGAAGAAAAGGTCATAAACTGGATCCAGGCAGTGTCTCCCAACTTTGATGATATTTACAACGAAAGGGAAGTGATTAACAGATGAAGCCAGAAGCATCAATTGAAGAAAAATAGATCATATAAAGAGTCCTAAGTTAGTTAGAAGGACAAGAAAAAAAAGAAAATGGAAACCAGTTAGGAGAAATGCATTCTAACTATTTAAAATCATTGATTTAATTCTTTTTTGTACTCAAACCTATAAATACTCACTGGAAGTTCTGTTTGCAGAAATTCCATGCCAATGGGCAAGACCAGAAGATGGGCTGGAGGGGAGTAAAAAGATTCATGCAAATTCAGCCTATCTGGGTTTAAATTCTGGCTATGCCACTTAGTAGCCATGTGGCCTTGGGGCAAGTTACTTAACTTTTTTTCTCAAAAATTACTTATCCAACTTGTTGCAACATAGCAAGTTAGTCAAAGTATGTTGAATATTCCTCAGCCCATAAGTCCCACTATCACTTTGATGCACATCTCCTGTCCCTGGTTCTGTATCCTAGTGATGGTCTGGGCCTCATTGTCCTCTTGGGTTAGCTGTACCAAAAAATTGTACCATAAATGTGTTTGAAGAATACACATGATTTAGGATTTCCTGGTGAGACAATATCCTGGATTATCCATTTGTAATAATTTCCAGGTTAACCCAAAAACTGCAGTGAACCAGAGAAAAGAAAACACAGAAGTACAACTCTGGCCAATTCAGAGAGCGCACCATGGACAATAGCCTCAACATAAACTCAGATCTATTTATTAGGATCTATTTATTAAATGGAAGCCATGTGAGATTTTAGGAGCAAACATAGTGTGCCTGGTTAGAAATGCTGGCTACATAGATAACTAAGGAAACATTATAGTATATTTTACTTGATTTATTACAAAATTTCCTTTTTGTAATTACCTGACTTGTACTTTTCCAGAGAGAAGAAATGAAATCTAGTACTGAACCGGTACATTACTTCTTACATAGAATTATGAGTTCATCCTCGTACAATGAAGAGGATCTGCCTTCATTTTCTAGGTACAGTTAATTAAAGCAATACGAGTTGGCTAAGAAAATAGAAATGAAATGAAATTATGTTGGTGGGAAGCATGGGCCCCTCAGGTAAACCTGTGAGGAAGCCAGTGTCTTGCCCCTCAAACTCCCCTCAACTCCTTCCCCTCGTTCCCCTCTGTGGTTACTTCCTAGGCCTCCCCTTTCCATCTTCTCTCTCATTCCTATTTATCTGGTCTCTACTTGCTTCTTTCTATTACAGTGGTCTACTTAGTATAGTTAGATTAAGTCTTAAAAGTGTCAGACTGGAACCTAAGAGACAGGCCCTGGATCAACAATAGTTCCTGCACTAATGGCCCACTGAAAGGGCTTCCTACTTAGTTTCCTTATGTACCTAAACACTCAACAGTGAGGCACTATTACAGGGATCCCCAAAATGGAGGAGTTATGTAGGTTGGAGTATTCAGGGAAGAATTCTCAAAACCAGTAGAGTTTGAGTCGGGCCTTAAAGGATGGATGAGATTTAGATAAGTCCATCCAAGTTGGGGGAGACTGTGAGAGAAAGGCTGGACTATGCAATATTTATAGGAGACACTGTAGACTTGAAGTCTGGTTAAAACTTTTTCTAGAGTAGTCCAAACATGCCTAAAATTGTTTTTATGTTTATAAAAATATTCACAAGCTGGGAAGAGGAGCACTTTGCATCATGGGAGAAATAGGGTATAAGGAGAAAAATCTACCTGATGGCAACTATATTCTTTTCCACCTCGCACTATGAAATTAAGTTTCTTTTTGACCTGATGCCATTTTAGGACAACTACCCCTGGCCCACCATTGATCCTCTCTCCCTTTATGATGGTTGTAACATACAGGTAATACAGTATGTTACATGCATTATTGCCGGCAACTCTCAATTATTTGTGTCACTGAAGAAGAAAAGAGGGCACATACAAAACCAAACAAAAGTCGATGTAGCAATCATTTTCACTTGATTTGAAAACTCAGAGACATACCATTCCAGATTTACTTCCATATGAATAATGATTTTGACAGATTTTTCTTTAATTTAGTCAGTATTCCTTCATATATTAAATACATAGAAAATGAAATTTCTTTATCTTTTTTTTTTAGTGGTGGTGATCATCCCTCAGATCCAAGTGCCATAGTATCAGAAGGTTGGATTGATTTTTTTTCTCAATTTAGATACTATTTTAAAAGACTTTGTTCAGCATTGATAAATTTCCTATTGTGAAACATGAAGTTAATGCTGGAATTTCTAGTAGGTTGACCTACTTTGGGGGTGTAGTTAACATAAGCTGACTAGTTTGCTTTTCTTCTCTTCTCTTCTCTTCTCTTCTCTTCTCTTCTCTTCTCTTTAGAGAGTAAGAGCAGGGGAGAGGGACAGAGGGAAAGAATCTTAAGTAGGCTCCACACTCAGCACAGAGCCTGATGCAGGGCTCGATCCCACGACCCTGGAATCATGACCTGAGCCAAAACCAAGAGTCACACGCTCAACCCACTTAGCCACCCAGGCACCCCTAGTTTGCTTTTACTGAATCACTAAGATTTCATTAATAATTCTGGTATAAAGTACATGGTGTGATATTAAGAGTTTAAAATTGCGATGCTCCTGTAGGAAATACGAGTTTATCACATCTGTACGTGGACTAGAGCTCATGCTACTAGGATTTAATCATCTCTTTAAGAATGTATGCTTGCATTGCATAACTAGCTTAGCCCCAGTAAAATATATAAAAAAGCTTTAAAGCTATAAATTAAACCTAAATTTATTTGTTCATGTTAAAATCTTTCTAGGGTAGATTCCATTTTATCTTTTGTCTCTGTTAGAACTGACTCACTAAAATATTTACAATTCAAGTTTTTGGTCACCTATTCTTTTTTTTTTAACATTTATTTTGAGAGAGACAGCGTGTGTGGGAGTCAGGGAGGGGCAGAGAGAGAGAATCCCGAGCATGCTCTCTGTGGGTTTCGATCCCACAAACCATGAGATCATGATATGAGCGGAAATCAAGAGTTGGATGCTTAACCAAATGACCAGGCATCCCTGGTCCCCTGTTCTTTCAAACTGTAAAGGATCAATGTGGTTCTCACAGTGACAGCACTGGCCTAGAGGGGGGAGTGTAATGTTTACTATAAAAGTGGCCTTGAAAGTCAAACTACAGGGCTGGAGTTGACCTTAATTATTTCAAGCCTGCAGCCCACTCAAAAAGTTACTCAAGAAAGCTATCCTCTCCACTTTTAAATGGAAATAAAACTTATTAAATGATGAACCATAGAGTATTGTTAAGTTGACCAGAATTCCATGAGCAGGTCATAGTCAGAAGATGATGTAATGTACCACTGGTGTGTACCCTGCAGTATGGAATCATCATAGGATATTAGAGCCAGAAAGAAGCCATCTAATGTAACTTTACTTTAAAGATGAAGAATCTGGGGCACCCAGGTGGTTCAGTTGGTCAAGTGACTGACTCTTGCTTTCAGCTTAGTTCATGATTTCACACTCGTGAGTTCGAGCTCCGTGTTGGGCTCGGCACTGAGCATGGAGCCTGCTTGGGATTCTCTCTCTCCCTCCCTCTCTGCACCTCCCCTACTCATTCTCTGTCTCTCTCAAAATAAATAAATAAACTTTTAAAAATTATTTAAAAAAATAAAGATGAAGAGCCTGAGGTTCATGGTGGGGAAGTGACTTGTCCAAGGTCATACACTGAGTCAGAGTATAGATCCCAAGTCTCCTAAACCTGAATCCCATTGTATTGTTTCCCTCAATTTCATTGCACTGCATTATGCTTAGTTCCTACATCCTTCGGTAATACTGCACCTCTCGAGTTTATTCATTCAATCACATTCAACAGAGATTCTCTGAGCACTTTCTCTGTGCTAGACACTGTTCTAAGTTCTAGAGATAAAGCCCTGAGTAAGAGAAACAAAGTCCTTACCCTCATTCTAACTTGGGATTCAGGGGGCAACATAAACACAATCAATCTAGATAAGAATAAGTACCCCCCATCTCACGTAGGGTAAAAGCCAGAGTCTTTACAGCGGCTTACAAGGCCCCACATGGTCTGGATAGCTCTCCCTGCTCCCCACGACCTCTCTGACCACCTCTTCTTAGGATCCCTCTTAAGCACTCTACTCCAGCCACACACGCCCTTATACATGCCAGGCATTCTCCTTTCTCAGAACATTTGCACTTGCTGAGCTGCCTGAAACATTCTTCTCTCAGAGATCTGCATAGCTCATGCCTCACTTTCTTTAGATCTTTGCTTAGATATCATCTTCTAAGTAAAGCCTCCTCTGAGCACCTTCTTTGAAATTGCAACCCCAGGGGTGCCTGGGTAGCTCAGTCGGTTGAGCGTCTGACTTTGGCTCAGGTCATGATCTTGAGGTCCATGGGTTCGAGCCCCGCATCGGGCTCTGTGCTGACAGCTTGGAGCCTGGAGCCTGCTTCAGATTCTGTGTCTCCCTCTCTCTGCCCCTCCCCCACTCATGCTCTGTCTCTCTCTCTCTCTCTCTCTCTCTCTCTGTCAAAATAAGTAAACATTAAAAAAGATTTTTAAATTGCAACCCCAGCACTTACTACCATCCCACACTCGCTATCCTCCTTCCCTGCTTTAACTTTTTTCCTAGCATTTATACCACCTGATAGATTGTATGTTTTTACTTGTTTGTTGGCTATCTCCCTCCCCTAGAATTTAGCTCCATGAGGACAGGGATTTTTGTCTCTTTGCTATATCCCCACATGCCTAGAAAGAAGGCACATAGTAGGCACTAAGTAAATATTTGTGGAATTCATGAATGAATATGACAAAAAGAAAGAAGAGCCAACATGATAGAGAGCGGCTGGCTAGATTAGTTTGGTCCAAGAAGTCCAGAAACATCAGACCTCAATGACAAAAGGAAGCAGCTACAGGAAGATCTGGAAGCAGAGGATCCCAGGTACAGGGTACAGTAAGTGCAAAGACCTTAGGATGGTATGAGCTTGGCATGTTAGAGGAAAAGAATAAAGGCCAGTAACAGGAGCCCAATGAGAAGAAAAGTGGTATGAGATGGGGTTAAAGAGATAGCTAGGGGTCAGATCACATTAGGGCTTGTTATAGACAATGGAAAGGAGTGTGGATTACTTTTTGGGTTGCAGCAGGAATCCTGCAGATTACTTTTTGGTTGCAGGGAAGTGATATAATCTAATTTATGAATTAAAAAAAAAATCCCTATGGCTACTATTTGGAGAGTGAGCTGAGTAAGGATAGGGTTAAAGCAGGAAGACTGGTTAGGCGGCTTTAACAATAATCCAGCCAAGAAATGACGGTGACTTGGACTAGGGGTATAGCAGTGGAGATGGTAAAAAGTGAACAGATTCAGAGTGTATTTTGAAAGTAGAATCAGCAGGACCTGCTAATGGAGTGGATGTTGGAAGTGAGGAAAATAGAAAAAATCAAGGATGGGTCCTACAATTTTGGCTTGAACAACTAAGTGCCTTGTGGTACCAGATGGTGAGATGGTTGGGCAGTGAGTAGCAAGAGTGGAGAGGGGACAGGGAACAAGAATTCTGTTTGAAGTGTGTGAGAATGGGACCATTAGATACTCAAGTGGAGAGATCACATGAGCAGTTGGATAGTTTAGAATTCAGTGGGGAGGTGAGGGCTGCAATACAGATTCTTAGTTTCACAGACAATAAAATCTAAACTTGACTCTATCTGGCACTCTCAAGTACCTGGAATTTTTCCATCCCCTTTTTATCAAAACAACTTCTTAGATATATCCAGAAGGGTTGCTATGCACTTAGACTAGACGTTTAAAAAATTATATTGGAATGATGGCCCGGAGCTATAGGGGTCCTTAGAAATCATCCACAGCCTAATTTCCCATTTTACAGATGAACGAAGAAGCCCACAGAGTTTGAGTGGCTGTGCAAGATGCACAGCTAGTTGCAAAGCCTGCCTTTCCTGATGTGCTGCCTGGTGTCCCTACCACATTACCCACTATCTTCCCCAGTTGGGGAGTGAAGGACCAAGACTTGTGCCCATAATTCTAGGGGTCTTACCTCTTTTCAGCTTTTTCTTTTGCTTAATTTCTGTGATCCTTTGTTAAATTATTGAGATTATTTTTGTGCCAAAATTTGTACATGTCTCTGAAATAATTGTTTTTCCAATATTGTATTTTGATCACAGAAAGTCTTGAACGTCCAGATCTGGAAAGGGCAAGTACAATTAAGGTAAATATTTTTCACTGGCCCCTCATTGTGAGCTAGTGAAGCCCTGATAGAAATAAGGGACTGCCTTCAAGTGAGGGACTGTATTGTGTGTTCTGAGGTCCATCAGGAAGCACTCCCTTGTCCACACCCCCCATAGTGCCTTAAAATAATCCCGCACAGTTTGGTTCCTGTAGCCTCTAGAGAAAAGCTGAACAGGAGTGAGTCCCAGTGCACTTCCAGGTAGACAAGACAAGGGACCTGGTGGGGGCAGAGAGGGAATGGGTGCTTCAAAGAGGAAGGGGCACTGCTTGAGGGAAATGAGTGCTCATTCCAGCTACTTCCCATTATCCCTGAGCACTGACCCTTCATAGACAGCTTTCCAAATGTCTGAGCAACTCCTCAGTGTGATCCCAAGAAATTTCCCTTCCCTAAGGCCCTCTTGGGAAGTTTCCAATAATGGCTGATGCCACAGATCCTCCTGGACCCTCTTCTCTGTTTTGTATCACTTTTGCTTCTCTCTATGATTGCTTTAACCTCTCCCCAGCATGCACACACATGCACACGCATGAGTGTGCATACACACACACACACACACACACACACACACACACACACACACCACATCAGTTTTCCAGGCACTTCTCATTTAGCAATGCTAACGTCTATTTGACAACATCAAACATCACTTAGAAGCCATGGTTTCCAAGAAAACATTAAGAGGAGAGGTAGAATCTCCAGTGTGGAGGCCTACTGATAGACTTTTCCATTGCCAAGCTGATTCCCTGACTCATCCTGACTCTTTTTGCTGATTGTCCATCTCACTTGCTGAGTTTTTTGCCATTGTAAAATTAAAGACATGATCCATTAAGATATTCAGCATTATTGAGTAGCAAAGAAATTCCTGCTTGCATTCAGCTCCAGAAAAACATCAGTCACTATATACATGAATGCATACACTCTCCATTGTCAGACACAAAAAAGAAGCCATTATATTTCCCTTAATGCCAAAGTCCTTACTATAGTCTAAACACCCCTGTATGAGCTGCCCACCATCTCTCTGCCCAACCCCCATTACCTCTGTGTGACACTCTGTTACCCTTCTGTCCACTCATTGTCACTCCTCTGGATACACTGGCCTCCTTACTGCTCCCCTAAAATGCCAAGCATGCTCTTACCTCAGGGCCTTTGCACTTGCTCTTCCTTTGCCAGGAACACTCTATCCCCAGATAGCTGTGTCTTGCTCCCCCATCTCCTTTCAGTCTTTGCTCAAAAGTCACCTTCTCTGTGAGGCCTTCCCTGACTACCACCATGTAAAATGGAAACACACACACACACACACACACACACACACACACACACACAGAGTATCCTCCCCTATCCTGCTTTATTTTTTGTCATAACACTTAAGTCATTATTCAATCATTCATTTATTTAACAATTTTTTATCAAGCGCCTACTATGTGCCATGCACTGGAGATTCAACAATAAACAAAGCAGACAAACATTCCTGCCTTAATCCTCTGGTAGACTCTCTATTCACTTGAATATAAGCTTCATGATGGCAAAGGCTTTGTTTTGTTCATAACTGTATGCCCAGCACCTAACACAGGGCTGAAATATAGTAGATGCCCAATTAACATTTGTTGAAAGAACAGCCTCAGCCATCAGAGCCAAATTTAATCTCTGTGTTAGGAGTTCTTCAGCTTTCTCCCCATTAGTCTGATGTAAAGCCATAATTGGAAACTGCTACACAGAGTAGAAGTTCTCAACCGTGGCTACACCTGGAATCATCTGGCAAACTTTAAAAACTGATTCCCAGGCCTCACCTCCAGAGATTCTGATTAGTCTGGGTTGCAGCTGGGGCCTTGAGAGTTCTAAAGGCTGGCTACTTTAATGTGTAGCCAGCACTACAAACCATTGACTTCACCTACTCATGTCAGGCCATTTGGGGGCATCTGCCCCACCCAACCCCACGGTTTTATAGGGAGTCTAAATCAGTTCATAGTGTGAAGTGACATACTATAGTACTTGGCGTGCATTGTGGCAAATTCAATTTGGCCATAAACAAATCTCTTTTCTCATAGCAACCAGTGTCAACCAAGTGAACCCCACTACACTGCTCACAAGCTGATCAAAGCAGCATCAGGGTATCTTGAAAGAGAGTTGGTCTCACCATGCTGGCTTCATTTTGACATAATACCTAACTCCTACTTCCAGCATGCTGTGAATGTCACACCCAGTGATTGATTTCTCTTTCCAGAAGTTTTGCTTTGAAAGGAGTAGGAATTGTTAGCCAGAGGTTTCACTGTGCCCCTAGGGATGAGCTTTGTGTATGCTCTTATTCTAGCCAGTGCCAGTCTTTAAATAATATGCAGCATCTACTAGAGCAGTGGCCCAAAGTGTTGTCCAGTGACAGCTTGCATCAGGATCACCCAGGATGCTTATTAACAATTCAGAATCCTGGCCCTTCCCCAGGGCGTCCCAGTTAGTGTCTCTGGGAAATGGGGTCCAGGCATCTGCTTCCTTAACAAGATCCTCAAATTGCAAAAATAAAGTTTCATTTTTCCCCTCCAGTGAGATTTTCAGAACATGGCCTTGCAGCATATGCCTCCATCCTGTAACTGAAAGTCTTTTGTCTTGCTTTTTCAGACTGTAGGTCTCTCCATTCAAGCCTTTGTCTTTGCCTCTGCAAATTTTGGCTTTTTCCTTATTTCTAGGTTGTTCTTATTTTATCAACTACTAGCACATTCCAGGACTGCATTATTAATTGGAAAAGCTAAACTTCTCCCCCTTATTTGGGAGTAAATTTTCTATCTGCTACTTTACTTTTAAGCATAGATTCTTGAGATTCCCAAGGTTATATTGCTGGCGAAGATCAAAACCTAGGTAACTGCAAAAGTTATAGAACATTGTCGTTTACTGGAAACAAGAAAGTATGTGGTTTATTGCCCTGTTGTCTTTTCATGACATCCTGTCATGATGCATCAGCAGCACAGATAAATGCTCATTTTGGTCCTTACAGATACAATAATCATTCTGTTAACATAAATTATGATAGACTTTAAGAGCCCTTTGCACAAAACAACTGGTGCAGAAAAAATGGGTCCAAATGGAGACTTATTGGCCACACAAGTCCTTTATAGCTCACACAACAAACAGATCACTTGGGGTCAGTCAACTGAAAATTTACCCAAAGCGAGTGAGAAACGATAACCTTTTTTAATGCACTGCTGCTTTTACCTGGACATTCTGAAATGGACGGAAGTAACATTTTCATGTGGAATTAGCTCCTCAGGCTGTTTTGGATAGTTACCTGATGGCATGAGGGAGACACGTACTGCTGAGCTGGCTCAAGAAGCATCAGGGTGCAGGCAGTACAGAGCTGGCCTGCACGTCAAAGCCTGGGCTCTAATGCCAACTTGGCCACCTTTCTACCTCATCCAAGGTCATTAAGGTCATCTCAGATGAGGCATCCGACCTTACTGAATGTCTCTGGTTTCCTTCCCAAGAGTGTCAGAAGGAGCAACTAAAGATTCCTTGTGTTATCCTAATGAGCACTGAGAAATGTATAGAATTTTTGAATCACTATATTGTACACCTAAACTAATATACCACTGTCTGTTACCCATACTGGAATGAAAATTTAAAACTTTAAAATAAGACTCTTTGTGAAAGCACTTTAAAACTCAAAAGTTTGAGGCGCCCTGGGTGGCTCAGTCAGTTAAGCGTCTGACTTCAGCTCAGGTCATGATCTTGCGATTTGTAAGTACAAGTCCCCAGTTGGGCTCTGTGCTGACAGCTCAGAGCCTGGAGCCTGCTTCTGATTCTGTGTCTCCCTCTGTCTCTGCCCCTCTCAAACTCTCACTCTGTCTCTCTCTCTCTCAAAAAATAAACATTAAAAAAAATTTTTTAAAAACCTCAGAAGTTATTATATAAATGATTCCTTCTGAATCCTAAATTATCAGTCCCCTAGCCTGACAGGCTCAGTTAGAAAGCCCAATAAATGACCAGATTTATCTTTTGGTTTGTTTACAGATGCTGATAAGCCCAGTACTTCCAAACAGCGGTCTGAAATGTTGAAGAAGGCATCATCAGTTCTGTCCAAAGTGTTTTCAAGATCCAAGGCCAATGTTTCCAGATCTTCCTCAACCTCACCCCCTCACTAGGACAGAAGCTGAGGCTGCTGCTACACCTAACATCAATAATGGTGCTGGCCTTCCTCAAAAAATAAATGGTTTTTGAAACATGACATTGTGTACCACACGCTGATTCTTACAAATACTTTTAAATTCTTATAAATAGTAAGAGCAAAGAATGTACAAAAAGGCAGCTGGAGAAAAGAAGGGGTTAACAAATGCTTCTGATTTTGGCATGAAAAGAAGGACTGTCCCTCCCAGAGGGATGTATCTGCCAGGCAGCGTGGGATTCAATCTCTGCTCTTGAGGGCCCTGACGCCTTTGCTGGCAAAATAAGACTAACTTAAAAGTGAAAGTGTGACACCAACAAGAGTGAGTCATCATGTATTTTGTGTGCTCTAGGAGTTCAAAGAAGGGAGTCATGGTTGTGAGCTGCAGTGGTCAGGATAAGTTTCCTGGAGGAACTGGAATTGAGGTAATCCTCAAAGGACAGGTAGGACCAGGTAGGCCTGGAAAGTACCAGGAAGGCTTTCACCTCTGGTCACAGAGCTGCATACAATGCCGCCATGTCTGAATGATCTAATTCAGTGCTGTCCAATTATATATATATTTTTTTTCATTCCAGTACAGTAGCCACTAGCCCCACAAAGCTATTTAGTCGCTAGTATTGTTGAACAACTGAATTTTTCACTTTATTTCCATTTAAATAGCCATGTAGAGCTAGTGGCTCCCTTACTGGATAGGACCAGTCTAGTTAGTACATGGCCTCCTGTACAGTAGCCCAATTCAGATTAGGTTGAAGAATTCCCTGAAAGCTCATTTCCAAAGTCTATCCCCAAACACCAGTGCAACTGACTCCTCAGAGGGGCTCTGGAAGCCTCCAGGCATCCTCTTGGCCCCTTCAAGACACATGAACCACCAATGTGGCCAGAGGGAGCTTTCCAGTCATATCTGTGCTCCTGCACTTGCCAAAACTCAATTGATGGACAAAAGATAGGCCCCTTCTAGAACACCAAATTCAAGGCATCACAAAGAGCAAATCAGAACCTGTTCCTGCCAGCTGGCCTCAAACATAGTTTGGCTAGAAACTGCTTCCACAAGACAGAAATACCACTCTGGTACTGAAACCACCACTCTGGCCTCCCTCTATCCACTCAGTATACAGGAAGATGATCAATCAACTAGTCATTCTCATACTTTATCCAAAAAGGTCAGAGGAAGGTACCAACCTTATCCAAAACTCCCCAGGGAAATATTTCTAGGCAAGTAAATTTCCTTTATGCTGTACTGATAGTCCATAAATGTTAACTGAACTTTTGCAAATAAAATGGCAGGCAGTTCTGCCCAAATATCACCTATCCCCCAAATTTGGCTGCCTTCATCTATTCACTCATTCCTGCCCTTACATACTGAAATTCACCACATGCAGCAGCCTAAGTTTTAAAGTCATTTTTTAAAGGTTCACAATGACAAATACTGATCTTACATACAGATTTAATTTGTTTTTATTAATAAGTAATATAAATCCAGTTTGGAATTCAAAAGTACAAACGGTGTGGTGAAAAGCCTCTTCACCTCTCCTCTCCCAGATGCTACCTGGTTCATTCCAGAAGCAATCTCTTTTACCACTGAATCAAGTGTCCTTCCCGATATACTCTATGAGTAACAAGTGTGTTAATGTATGGCTTTAGAAGGAAGTGTAACTGAATATCTTCCCTCAAAAAGGCAGAAAACAGAGAGGAAAAGATGGAGGGAGAGGAGAATGGAAGGAGAGACAGAGAAGGCAAGCATGCTATTTGACAGACACTATTTCCTGGAACCAGTGATTTGGTCAGTTTCTATGGTTGCATTTGTAGCTTCAAATAAACTCAGTCCTCATTTTAAACATGCTTTTTGTTGGGGCACCTGGGTGGCTCAGTCGGTTAAGCGTCCGACTTCGGCTCAGGTCATGATCTCACGGTTTGTGGGTTTGAGCCCCACGTCAGGCTCTGTGCTGACAGCCCAGAGCCTGGAGCCCGCTTTGGATTCTGTCTCCCTTTCTCTCTGCTCCTCCCCTGCTCACACTGTTTCTCTCTCCCTCTTCTTCAAAAATAAACAAACATTCAAAAAAAATTTAAACAATGCTTTTTGTCAAATTAATGTCAATGCTAAATGTCAAAAGGTGAGCACCACCATGGGAGGAAAGGCCCCTACCATAGTGGTTCAAAGCCTGCTGGACAAAATACATTAAGAATGCTTGAGCTAGTAGCTATAGTCCTTGGAGATGGAACCATCTAAATATAAATAGATTTAAGTACTAAAAGTAAAAATGCACCGCCTCACTTGCAATGAAAGAAAATGCAAATTAGAATAACCTGAAGGTATCACAATATACCTTCCAGAAAAGAAACAAGGAATAAAATGAAAAAAGCCAGCGATGTCCAGAATGTAGAGGGAAAATTACATTTGCACTCTACAGTGCTGATGGTTCCACAAATTTGATCTTTCTGAAAAGAAATCTACTAATAAGTAAGACAACCAATTGTTCTGTCTGTACTTTTGGATCTGATAACTCCACTTTGGGGAATGTGGTCCAAGGGAATAATACAAAAGGAAAAATTTAAAAGGGACTCTGTATAAAAATGTTCATAACAGTACTATTGATTATGATGAAAAATTATAACAATCCAAGTGGGGGAAATGGTGCAGTGTGTTAACAAGAAACAATGCCATACAGACACTGAAAATGACAAGGATAGTGATAACATAAATACAAGTGTACATTTGACAAAAACAAAATCAGCTTGCAAAATAAGATGTGTACTCTGATAACAATCACAGAGTATATTTTATGATTTGGCAATCATATGACATACTAATAAAAAATCCAAATAAGTTAGAGATTTAATTTAATAATCATGAGGGGGTTTTGCTGTTATTAGCTACTTGCTAATAAATGCCTTTCTCTTGAAGAAACATCATCATAATCACCATCACTTAAGTCATTTCTAACCCTATCCCAAGCCAAATGGAATATCTAATACCTCAGTTTCTCGTGATGCATGAGAAAAAAAGAAAACATCAGTTCAGACTTTTTAAAATGGCTTCTTTAAAGAGGTTAGGTCATCTCCAATCATCCCCAAAGTACTCTTCTAAACCCTAAGCTGGCAAAAGGTATTCAAATTTTTGACTGAAGTTCATTGTGGAGAGTATACTGGCCTTAAATATAAAATTACAACAGCCATGTATTTGTGTGATACACATACACTTAAGAGTAACTTAATTAACATAGGTCATACGGCTTTGCCCCTTTATAGGACCCAACATATTAAGTTCAGTATTTTTAATGATTTGTCTAGGGACCAATATATCTTTGATGACATACTATTGGTCATACTTAATTTATAGAATACCAAATGCTTATCGCAAATGTAATTATAGATTATTTCCTACTGAAAAATATGACCTGCTCTTATCTATTTTATGACACAGTTTCCAGTAACACTTGTAGAAATCAGGAGCCACTTATTTAGTAAAGGAAGAACTCTAAGTTAAATCCTAGTGCAGGGGCGCCTGGGTGGCGCAGTCGGTTAAGCGTCCGACTTCAGCCAGGTCACGATCTCGCAGTCTATGAGTTCGAGCCCCGCGTCAGGCTCTGGGCTGATGGCTCAGAGCCTGGAGCCTGTTTCTGATTCTGTGCCTCCCTCTCTCTCTGCCCCTCCCCCGTTCATGCTCTGTTTCTCTCTGTCCCAAAAATAAATAAACGTTGAAAAAAAAATTTTTTTAATTAAAAATAAATAAATAAATAAATAAATCCTAGTGCAAATAATTACACCCAAAATATGTCTTCTAAGTTGACAATTTCAGATAAAATAAAAGACATCATGAAACACTTAACTTTATTCTTTGGTCCTGACAGCACAGCACTGAGCACTTTATACTTCACTAGAATACCACTTAGACAATGACCAGGTTATTCCTTTCAAAGAGCTTCAAAACATGTTTACAGAAGGTATGTTCTGTACCAGATAAGGATTATTTCCATTTTAGGATTCAATGAGTTTATAAATTGCTGAGACAGATACTTATCCGGCCCAAAAGGTTAGAGGAAGCAAAAAGGGACTGACAGACTAGGATGTTAATTAGGCTACATGAAAGAAATATTGATACGGCAAAAAACAAAAAACATTCTTAATTGAGCACGTCATTCAATGTGGCTGTTTAGCCTTGAGATCACTGGGAATTTGTCCACCAATGAATTCCAACTGTCTTCTGTGAAGTGAATTCATGAAAGGAACATTCACTGTACCCAAAGATCAACTAACACCAATTGCTAGCTGGTTGCTTCAGGCTTGGCCTAGTGCAGGGTGCATACGCACCTCTCAGATCTCTGACTACAGGGAGCATAAGTGACAAATGGCCACAGCTGCTGAGCTCTGAAATCCAGTGCTGTGTAGCTGAAATCCATTATCCCTGCATGTTCACCAAGGCCAAACTTCCCACAAGCTGCTCTCTGCCAATGACTGAATGTGGCAGAGATATTAAGACAAGCCATTCCTGTGAGACACAGGACTCCCTTAACAGGTGACTTGGAGTCAGGGATGCTGCCAGGAAAGAACTCCAGCCTGACAAAGGATAGCAAGGACTGGCTCTGACACTACTTCACAGATGTAGAAAGTAGACAGGAAGACTTAATGAGTTAGAACAAGACAGTTTATTACAGCACAGCAAATGGCATCAGCATGAATATCAGTGAAGCTTTGCAAGCTCCCCTGTCCCAAATCCTACAGAACAATGTAATGGGCTCAGATGGGGCACTACCCATGCAGTGGGTTGCATCGCAGCTGAGGAACCCAAAGTCAAGGGCCCAGGACTTCTTGAGCAATGAGCAAACAAACCAGTGCCCCTCCCCTGGGAAGCAAGCAGTTCAATGATAGTCACATTGTGGTCACCTTGCCCTGCACAAGTGGCTCAGTATTAGGGAGACCAATGAGCCTTGCTTTAAAAAGCCTCACCAAGAATGTGCAAGGATGCTCACGACCCACAGTGGACTGCCTCTCCCAACAGACGCACTTGTTTTGCCAAAATGTTCTTAGAACTGCACCACATGGTCCAAGATCTTTCCTACCCAACA